TACAGTGAAGTACAATGCCCTAAAATTTTATATGGACAGGGCACGGTAAATATTCGTTTAATATCCAAGAAATTCTGGAAAATTACATAATTCTGTGCTTTTCTTAACTATTCTTGTAAGACGAAACATAGTAACGGCACTAAGCACTTACATTGTTAAACCTTCAAGCTTTTCTCTTTTTTTTTTCTCGATTTTTAGCGCGAATTAGTAAGGTGCAGCGATTTGGCGCAACTTTGGTGAAATGTTCATGTCGGGAAATTCTCTCAACCGTTTAAAAATATTTTTCGACACGTTTTGCAGCAGAAGGCAGCGACCTATCGACCGATGATTCAGGATGTGTTGCTCACGGGGGTTTCTTCGTCACTCCTTTCTCCAAAATAAAAATTTCATTGCATCAAATCTCCGGCTTGCGATCTCAAGCCCATTTATTGAAACCTTTTGCATAAATTCGACGAAACAAATCTTTCTTATCAAAGCTGATTACAGACCACCTCTCACCTAATTATCCAGCCCGACATCTTCCTCCAATTGACCTTCCATTTTTGGTGGATAGTTCAAGATGTATTGGAATCTTCAGCTTTGAAGCGGTGAGCAACTATTAATTTCACTAGCTGGCCCAGCTAGTTTCAAGTTCTCTAGTGTTGTAAGCCAAAATCGATGTCTTCAACAAGGCAGCAACAACAGAGGTGCTGGTTTACTTTTATTTTATTTCGTTCTAAAACCCGGTTTAACATTTGTATGCAACAAAACAATAAAGAGGAATTGGAATTAAATGTTGAGTGCTCCGACTTAAGGTCCAGTTGGAAACAAAATTTGGCAGCCAGGTTCTAAAATGCTTCATTAGACAAATGCGGATGAAGGAGCACTGTGCGCCAGAATATTGGAGAGACCGAGAATAATTCATTGGGCCAATGAAAACCTTCCGGATTACAATGCTTGTTGGAAGCTATTCCATATTACTTAGTGACTTTGACAAATAGATGATCGTGAAGTGCTTTGCAAAGAAAAAGTCCTATAAACACATAAAACATATTAAAACACATAAGTTGGTATCACCTGATGATCATGCGTCAACCAATCCGTCATCATTTAAGGTATGACCGATCATCAGCTGTGTAGACGGGCCAACGGATAGAATAACCTGGTTTTTAAGCCTGATACTTACCCAGTTGCTTAACCACATTCCAGCTCACCTCACAAACACCGAAATGTTCCTAGAACGTCTACGTAACGCGTCTCCTAATAACGCGTACGTGATAGAGTCTTTCGATGTTACCGCACTGTACACCAACGTGTCGAATGACTCCGCAATGCAAGCCATCTTCGAACTTCTTGTTGAACATGAAGGAAGAATAAATATGCATGGCTTGTCCATCCAGCAGCTAATGGCTCTCTTAAAGGAGTGCCTAAACTGTTCGATTTTCAGATGGTCTGGGAAATATTTCGCACAAATAAGGGGGTTGGCAATGGGACAGCGATTGGCACCAAGCCTTGCCATTGTGTTTATGTCTAAGATAGAAGCCCCTGTTCTTGATCTCCGACCACTACTCTACTGCAGATATGTAGATGATTATTTTGTCGTCTTCTCTACCCAGGAGGAGATGGACAAATGCTTTGAATTATTGAACGAGCAGTCCGAGTACATAAAGTTCACCCGGGAGAAACCGAGAAAAAACTGGCTTTCATTTTTGGACGTTCAAATAAACCTATCAAGTAGCGGTTACCTGACAAAGTGGTATCGAAAGCCAAGTAACAAGAACATTCTTGTTCATTTCCTTTCTTCCCACCCTTCACACACAAAGAGGGCGATTGTGAGAAACATGTTTCGAACAGCCACCTCTGTGTGCACTACTAGGGAACTAAAGGAAGAGTCGCGCGACTTGGCTCGGCAAATAGCCATCTCCAATGGCTATGAAATAGTAACTCCACGAGATAAGTTTACAAGGAGAACGACGCGCCCACGTGAAACACTTGGCCAAAAGAAAGTCCCGTTTATGTTGCCTTTTATAAGCGATGAAGTAAGCGTAGCTATAAAACGATGCTTAAGAAGGGCAAGTCTAGAGGAATCGGTAGCGATAGTTGAAACACCACCGTTTACTCTAGGTCGATAGTTAGTTCGTAACCGCCTGTATGACCATCTATGTGAAACAAAAAATTGCGTAATTTGCCCTTTGGCAGGGTTGATGACTGCATGAGCTGAGGTACAATATACCTGATCTCTTGTACTACTTGCGGAAACGAATATATTGGCGAAACGGGTAGGCCTTTATGTATCCGCATAAAAGAACACCTAGATGGCAAACGAAAAGCAAAACAAGACACGGCACTAGGGACGCATAGAATACAAAAGCATAGCGGAGACGATTTTGACATAAGAGCAACTATCCTTGCTTGGGATCCTAAAACATTAACGCTCAAACTCCTTGAGGCTTTTTGGATAAATGCCAAAAACTCTACAATGAATAGTAGGGAGGAATTCCCTGAGACTATGCGTGATCTCGCCCCTTACCTTCGTATCGATCCTTGATGTGGGGAGGTGCAGTCATTAACCATATGCGACAATAATTAGCTGTTTTAATCCTCCTCAATGGAAGTCACGTAAAAAGCGGTGAGTTTTTCGAGAAGCTGTTGATCATGTAATTGCCATAGAGTTTTTCGTCTTTTTTAAGTGTTATTGAAGCGTTTGGCCTAGTAGATTGCATACCAGTATACTCTTCCAGGCTCTGAAGAAGGCGATGCTGCCGAAACGTCAGCTCCTGCTACGTTGTATTGTGTTTTTCTATAGAAGTAAATGTATGCTGTTTAACAACCTCGCGACTGCTGAACAGGAAGACGACACATTCTGAAATCCTTGTGAGCCACCACCTCTTTGATATTTTTAAAATCTGGCCCAAAAAGTGCCTGTACCTGCGTTGGGTATCTAAGGAGAGTGGTCTGGAGAGGAGGGTCGAGAGGGTCGTATTGGGGTTTCTAGCTTACGTAAATATGTGCTTTCTGCATAAAACACCTCTATCGCATCTGCGTGACGACAGATCAATAGTATCCTCGGCGATCTGGAAGTTCATATCAGATTGACCTGAAAACTACTTCAGGGAGATCGACTCGACCGGCATTCACCAACATTTACAAGTAAGAACAAAATGTTCAAGCAGCTGCCGTACACACAAGTGAGTCCGAGGACCTTCGTGGGCGATCTGTGTAACGAAACCAATTCCTTGCATGTGCTAGGTTCCGCACAGCATAGGATGTCATGTAAATCGAAATATTTATTCGGTCCGATTTTACATATTATACACATATTAACGACCATACAGTGTACTGGCTTCTTCATCCTTAGGTGAGGCAAAACGTTCTGCCACTCAAGTAAAAAATTCCCCTTTGGTTCACTCTTTTGTTGAAGTTGTCTTAGGCGTTTAATAAACATTCAAAAGGGTTTTATAACAGTAGATATTTTTCCCAATTTCTACTTCTTATAACGTGTTTCGACCAATAAAACTTCTATATAAACCTTCTCAAAGATTTTAAGCTTAGAACGTCCGCAGTACGGGGGAAAACCAACAACGCCCTAAAAAATATGCCAACCATTAAGGTTAAGATATCTCCTTTTTGAAGAGTATTTAAAAGTATCTCCGTCTTGGAAACAGATACCACCATAGGAAAGCCTAACCCCAAAACTGCGACGACTAACTAGACTTACGCAGCCCTTTGTTTTTTTAACAAATTCTATCTACCGTAGAGAAAACCAATAAATATTCTTTCTTCTAAATTAAAAATTTCTCCTGTCACGAAGTTGCCCGATAACATCTCGACCGAGTTCCACAAAGCTGGAAGCCATTAACTACGAGCATTTCTCGCTTCCAGTCTAACAGTGCTCCATCAAATGGAGAGAATTCTCATCATTAAAAAAATATTGTGATGCTACTAAAGAATGCTGATCAAGGAAAGCTTCATCACTGCCAAGTAATTCCAATCGTAGCTACCTAAAAGGGCACGGGAGGGTGATTCTTTTCATTCCTGCTTCGCTCCATTCCACTAGATTTGACTCGATGCTACGAATGTGAAAACACACATTGCAAGAAGAAACAACTTCTGTGGACACTCAACTCGGGTCATAGCAGCCCTACCGAGAACGATTCTGCCAAAAAGTTAACCACAATTAAGTCTAATACTAACCTCCTGTAAGCTTACAAATACAACGAACTTTCGATTATCCGTGCCAAGATTAAGTGAAGTTAGGTATTGCAACTGTTGCTTTTCCCAAAAAGCCTTATCTATTCCTAGTCAGAATTATAATTTCAATCTTGTTTTGTTAATAACAGGTCCCAATAGAGCTGAACCGTTGTAACCGTTAGCAAGCGCACTTTTACTGTGCTCAGATTCAAACTGACCTATTGCGCAAAATTTCTCACGAGCCTTTTCTTGACCAAAACTATTCCGCTACAAAGTGGTCGCCAATCGTTGATAACGGTTTTCATGCTGTCAGCACAATAACGAGGAATACTGAGCTTGATACTGTATCGAAGTCTCAAATGCAGAGATTTATTCTGATTTTTACTGCTCATTGTCATCTGGAAATGCTTAAGTCCTCGATGTGCTTGTTACCCAGAAAACATGAATAAGCAATATATCTCCCAAACGCTCGAAAATCGAAAAGCGGAAGAGTTCGATGATTTAATCGTAAATGTGGGTAGAGTTTGATGTGCAAAGTGCAATTGGTGGTGCTATGTGTATGATACGGTTAGAACTAGTGCTCGGTAGAATTGCGTTGTGTTCCATGCTCTCATTTCCGACGTCCCCACGTCCATCCAAGATCGTGCCAATCAGGATTCTTCTTCACCAGCTGCATTGATCGTAAAATTCGTTTCGGAAACTAAAAACTATGTTAGAAACCTATGTCTTCACGTAAATGCACTGTTACCATTGGCCTTCTTCGCGTGATCACGCTGAGCCAGCTGCGAAGCAACGTGCTCAACGTGCTCAAAGTGCAAGTTTAGAATGGATCTAAATGTAGACCTAAACCCAGTTCCGAGGTGACACCTCTAGTCAGCTAAAAAATTGAGTGGGAAGAACGTGGTACGTGGTTTAAAACTGCCTCTAACAAATAAGACTCGTGTTATCGCCGAAAAACCCAGACGAGCTATCTTTAAGTATACTCCAAATCAGCCTAGCGGGTAAATTTCGCTATTTTCTTACCAAAGATAGTGAGAATAAACTGAAGCTTCGCAGTGGAAGTTTTAGGAGCTCGGTGTTCGTCGAATAAATTAAAACCATTGGGCTGGTTTAAAAGCGGTATGAACAAGAAAACGCTTTGATGAATTTTTCTGGAAGCACTTAATGACTAAGGGGACTACCTGTGATAAGATTCGTGGTACGTATTCGTGATTTCGTCGAAAACAGTCAAGAAAACTTACTGGCGGATTTCGTTTTCTCCATGCCCATCCGAGGTCCTCCCATTCGGGTTTGGTCTCCCGTTTTAGTATTGGTGACATTGAATCTGAGAAAGATGTGCTACATTTGACTGCGCATCGATGACGAACCAAGGCTATACGCCGCTATTTTAATCCCATTTAATGATAAATAAGTTATATTAAACAAAAACCTGAAATGTAGAGGGAATGTGCCAATGTCAGGAGGCCCATAATAAGAACCACCAAAAGTAGTGATGGATTCTCTTTCATCTTATCTGGAAAGTAAAATTTTTCACTTCGCCATTAATGAACAAGCGATTAGTGAAAAAGTACAGAACGTAACCGATATGAATAACGTAAAACAAAAAACGGCGATGACATTGAATGGAGTTGGAGAAAGTATGCAGAAGAATCTTAGTCCTCGGACTAAAAACAGCTTTATTATCAAAATTCAACCTAGACGTAAGTAGAATCGCATCACGCTGTAGATTTTACAGCGCCTCGACCGCTTGCACTGGATCTGTTCTCTTGGATTTGACGACGTTCAAATTCTCAAACGTCTTTCACTTTCTCCAAACCAAATATTTCTGATTTCTATCTATTGGTCTTGTATTTTCGTCGCTATAATTTCCAATTTCTGTTTCTTTCTGTGTGAGCGACATTATTATCGCGTCAATAATAAAAGGCAAACCCTTTCGGCACTAATTAACCCCTGAGGGTTGATCCGTGTGTTGGATTCCATTTGTAGCATCGTAGAGGTGAAAATGAGTACATATCTGATCTGCATAAAGTTACGGTGGCTTTCCGCCGTTTCAAGTTAGTGCTATTATCCTTCCAGAGAGTGTCAGCTAGCCCCATGGTGACGGAAAGCATGATGAGTTGGGTGGGGAGGGAATTGGACCAATGACCACGTGTGTATTGAATTTATTACTCTCTTCATTAGTTATTCACCTTTAGCCGCTGCGCTTCATTTGTCCATCTACTGGAAATGTTGTATTAAAATAATAAAACTATTCGTTTTACACTTGAATTGAGCTTATTCCGTTAGTGTTTGGTATGTTATCCATAATGGGATACTACAGATATCATGGATTGTGAGGCATAAATAACCATAGAGTATCGTCGCACATAATAAACGGCTTTAATGTGATGTGAACGGCAAAACACCAAGTTCATTCTGCTGATTGTAGTTCATTAGGCGAGCTCACCTCTTTATGCTTAGTAGCTTCATAACAACAACAACCAGAAAACTAAGGATGTTAATACATCAGGATAAAATTACACTGTAATCGCCTTAGGATACATTATGCTTCTTGCTGATTTACAAGTGGCAAGCTGGCTTAGAAGGCTGTGAGTAGTTTCATGCCTTACTAATAATCCATAGGCTTATTTCGGTGAAGCAGCAAATACGTCTAGGATTGACTCAGTGTATGAGGACCACACCGAATTCGGGCGCTACATTTTTATCAAGATATTTTTCTCCCAAGTGATTCTAATATATCACATCGAAAAATGCTTTCGTAACGCTGCTCCAGCTGCTGTTATTTTTCGGTAATCAGAAAAAAGCTACGTAGGAAACTGAACGCAGGGAAAGTGCACTGGACGCACGCAGCGAACAGGACGTGATGGTGCATCTGCTTTCTCTAATTCTGTTAGTTCGAACGATTTCACTCTTCATAGCTGTGACAGCAACAGGCTTTTTGTTGAATGGGCATATAATGGTTACGTTGAAGGTGAATGGCATCCTCGTGGACTGCAAAAGCAAGCAGTCATTCTATTGTGCACTTTCCAGATTTCCACGTGATTCGGCGAAGCCGGAAAGGAAAATGCAGATCTAAACTTTGGTACCAAATGGTGGAAAATTCGGCCAATAAATTATCCTTCTGACGAAATGAAGTATTCATTCAACTGTTTGTGCTGCCAACTATTATTCAATGACTGCGCTTGAACGTCTCCAACACTACTGATGTCTTCACTTTTGCTCACTGCCTAATCGTCTATCATGGCAGCATGGCAGGGCATGGTGTGAAATGCGACTATTAGTTGAAAGTTGACATATAAGGAACTCGGAATTATCGCTATAGTTGTATCCCACTACTGATCTCTTATTATAATAATTGTAGAGAATGCTCGTTAATTTTCTACATTTGTGGATAAGTGAATATTTAACAACCTGAATACATTCTCCTTTTCCTTTGAGTCATAGATCACAGAGAGATGAGTGTTAAAAGAGGAAGAACCGCGCAGCTGAGGTGATGTACATGATAGGGAACAGTCTCCCTTGCATTTTCTGGCATGTCGTGAGCGCTCCTTCACTTTAGCAATGTCCTTTTCGCTTCTTGTTACTGACTTTCTGGCTGAGATTGGAGATAATGGTGATATACCAACTTAGATATACATGTATATCGAGAACGTGAAGAATCAATAGATGTACGAAATCATTTTCCGTGAACACTACCTGTGGGAGATTCAGCAGGTAGTCGACAGTTCTAGACGTACAGCCGAAAATACAAGTCATTTGTAACGTCGTTTTTTTTCTTAAATCTCGATATTTCACCACTAAACCAAAGCTTTGGGAATTATGAAAAAATGATTTTAGCCTCATATCACCCATACAAGAGAAATCACTTATTGAAAGGAGTTACAGATAGTTATGTAAGCGTTTTGCCTATATTATGCGAATAAACTTTATTTCAAAGCTTTCAAGAGGACAACAGAACGAAGTGACAAGTTGCTATTCAAGGCCAAAATTTTAAGCAGAGGTTTAGAAGATATCTCTTTGCGGGCACAAAACCCTGTTAAAGATTCTTTCTACTTCTGTTCAGCAAACACGAAGTGCTATTTTGTTTCTTTATTTACGTACAAGCTGACGTTTCGGCGAATTTCGCCTTCCTCAGAGCTTGAAAAGGTCAGGTTGACAGCAACCTATTCAGCCAAACACCTCCATAACCAAACAGGGAAAACGCTAAACCAAGATTTCAATCACATTTAACACAGTTCTGCACACTCACCGCTTTCTATCGGTCTTCCACTGAGTACGTCGCGTGAAGACATACAGACATTGTTCAATCAATACCGAGGTTAATAGAAAGTGGGAAGTGGGAGTTACTAATCAAACGATCAAATTTCGCAAATTTCACTATTTAAGAAGCACCGTTGCAGTCAATTATGGAGTGGTACTACCTGTAAATTTGTAAACAGCAGAGAAGCAAAAAAGCAAGGTGATCCGTTCCTCATGAAACCCATCTCCACCGAGTACATGTCGCACGATGACCTCAATCTCTGCGAAAAACTTCAGTGGCGAAGAACAGTGAAGCCAATGTTCTCGTCAGCATGATATCTCATTATTACTTCATTGTAAAAAGAACAGCTGATAAATACTGTGTGGGTAGCCATTCAGTCCAGAGGAACGAAAGAAATAGAGAGAAATTGAATTTTATAAACTACATCCAGAAAGCTACATTTTTCCAAACGATCTTGCTCTTCCCAACAACATCACTGAGTGGACACTACCATAACGAACAATTCCGAAAGATTCCTGCAATATCAACACCTCAACAAAAAATTGAGGTTGAAAAGACCACTGAGAGATATTCTTTGTACGGAACCCTCAACTTCTTATTCCCGATGATATCTGTTTGATTCAAAGAAATACCTGACAACCTAGAACGAAATAAAATCAGTAATTTAGTTATTTTTCTTCTCTGAACAACAATTTGATGATCAACAAGGCAAAATAACGATTAATTGGTTTCAATCATTCCTATGAACAACCAATCTTCAATACTAAACCTACGGAGGCGCCGGAAAAATGACTATTGTTCTGTTCATATCGAATAGAACGGCCGTTAGCGTTTTCCCGCTTTATTTCCTATCGTGGATAAAGTAGAATAGGCAGTAAACTGAAACCAATAACGGGTACCTATGAATGGGCCTCTTCAAAAGCTTATCAAAGTATTGTTGAGGGAACGAAGAAACTACTGCTCACCAAGCACCTTAAAAAGTTCACATTTCTTTTGCCTATGACTCCTTCTCTGAAATTTAGATATGAGTAAGCAGAAAAAACAAAAAACGACAGTGTAAAGAATCTAACGGAACAGCAAAACAAATTAAAAGATGGGTTATCAAATTTCGTTTGGAGTCAAAGAATAGTGTGACGTTGATTTCGATGCTTTGCAAATGAAAACGTTGAAACTCATGCTACTCCCATAACCAAAAAACCTTACAAGACAACACAATCGAACGTGCGGAATAACCTCTCAGTACCAGTTAATGGTATCTCACTCAACTCCAAACAAAGAAAGATATGCTTGGAACAATCCTCTTACGCCTCCTATTTGTGAAGAACGCCTCATCACCTTTTTGCAAGAAGTCGATGGAACTGGAATAATGCCTAATACCAGTTGATGAACAAATGTTAGAGCTAAAAAGAGAAAGCTAAAACACAGAAACCCAACTACTTATTCCCTAAAACCGAATAAACAGAAAAAAGTTTCACCAATAAAAAAGTGGATTGTGGATAACTTGTACAGTGGTGCTATAATGACAGCAGCCCGTGCAAGGAATGAAGCAGGATGGGTGGCTCTTTGATCACATAGAAACATAGGGCAGACATTGACCACAGTGAACGACTTGAAAAACTGTTTCTACAATAGGAGTGTGGTTCAATATCAAATTACCCAACGGAACTACTCCATCAACAACTCGTATGCAGAGAAACTGTCGGCCCACAACATAAACATGTTGATGATCGTGCTTACACCCACCACACCCACCACACCCACCACACCCACAGATCACTGCCGACTGCAGAAACAAGGACGTTCCTGCAGCATAGAAACGGTCTTTTTAGTTTGGAACATCCTATATTCATATTTAGAAGCTCAATCATCTGCGTGGAAGCACAGATGATCGCTCATGCAAAGAGTACGAACAAATGACAAACTTGATTGCCTAGGATGCTGATATTCAAACGCAATAAGAGAATAAACAGTAGTAGCGAGATTTTTAATACCAACTTTACTCAACTTCGAGAGAAAAAGTGAGTACCTTGGCTTGGGCTGTTTACTGTTCAGGCAATATTTTCAATTTTCCCCATTATATGT